AAAATAAAAGAAATGATCCAGGAAGATTCACCTGATGAATCTACCTGTTTGACAGACAGATATGAAAAAGGGCAAGCAGCTTATCAGGAAAAAGTATATACTGTGAACTCTGCAAGGGAAAGCATCTTTCATTTGTGTCAACTGCAACACGAAAAGCTTTTCCCGGCATAATGATGTAGGAATGTAGGCAACTTCACCTGATTAATTCCAGAGATGCTTAAATCACAAGTGCCCCATCTTGGCAATCCTACAAGGAAAAGTGCTTTGCATCTGGGTCCCTTGTAACAGGGAATGCTTTCCCCAGCACAGAGATTAAGTCATAAAGAAAGCATCACCTGATTAATTTCTCTCTCTGACATGATGCTGTTAAAAAGTTGGGGGGGGGGGAGACTGAAAATCCTACAAGGGAAATTCCCTTGCATTGAGATGTACTACAACAGTGAAAGCTTTTCCTGCCACAGAGGTGAAGTGATCATAAGGACTTCCCTAATTACTTTATGTCTATATGACAGGCAGCTGTTTGAGACAAACCCTATCAAGGAAATACAAAATGCCAGGAATGCTAGGAACATCCTGCGTTATCTCTTTTCCCAGTAGCAACAAAGTTGAGGAACCAACAGGATTTTATTCCAGCATTAACTTCCGTGGGCTTGAAGACCCCACTTTTTCAGACGCAACCTCCTACCTCTGTGGAATTCCCCCCCCCCTCCTCCAATTTGGAGGGAAAAAATGTCTGGAGAAAGATTTACCAGCTCTACCTGATTTAAGGTTTACGTAATTTACCTGCTGCATTTCTCCTTGTGAATAGGCATGTTATATCGAAGGCACAGAAAACTTGCAGGACGAAGACAGGAGTAAAATGGGGTTAACATACCATACTGGCTGCCCTTAACTGATGAATATTAGAGGCACACACAGAGATATATACACACACACATGGCAGCACACTTACCCCATGCCATGTAACATAGCAGGACTTCCCAGTAAGATTGTACTGGACAGCAAAGGGAGTGAATGCAATTTCCCTGGATGGTTTCAGTCCCATGCACCCTTCCCCAGGAGTAAGCCCCACTGAACAGTACGGGGCCTACTTCCGAGTAGGCTTCCACCACAAGGTCTCTCTCCCACCACACCCACAGGCTTGCCTTAACTTCGCACAGGTACCCTGCCAGCCACCAGATGAAGTCGGCGCAGTAGTGGCAGAAGGTGGGCTTGGTGAGGGTGATCCTCTTGAAGCCATGCCCAGGCACGCTCCCACATGGCAGCGGCGTTGTCCGCAGCTGTTTGGGTGACGCAGGCGGCATTTGCTGCCGCTGCGCCTGCTGAGACAGCGGCGGCTTGGTCGACGACGGCGTGGGCAGCGAGCGGCTCTTGCCGCCTCTCCCCAACAGCAGCCCAGCACGAAACGGGCTCCGTCTGCCATGCTGCTGCCAGCGCGGGGGCTCAAGAACCGGCGCTTCTTCGCCTCAGTCTGGCCGCCAGGACGCTTCTTCGCGCCTTCCTTTCCCCCTCACAGGAACAGGCACGCTTCTCCCGCTGTGTAATGTATTCAGCCTGACATGCCCGGACGTGCCCGGGCTGGCCAGGCACAATTCCTATGTAGCTTGAGTCGAAAGACAAAGGATCCGAAGGATCCTAGCCGGCCCAATCAAAAGGGCTAGCTTCCCAGCCGGGAGACCAATGGTCGCCCGGTTACTGTAAATATCCTATCGGGAGTAGGGTGTGTGTTTAGGTGTGCTTGGTGGCGGGTTTTCTGAATGCATATAAACCGGCCTGCGAGCCGGTCAGTTGTCTTTGTCCTGAACGAAATAAAGGTATGCTTAGCTGAAATCACTCTCCTTCTGCATACTTTTCACGCTGGGCTGCCACCGCCTTGAGAGGAGATTCGTGAGGAGAAGGAGCAATGCGCACGCGCAACCTCTCTGGCGGCGAGACTTCCACCATGCTGCCAGGGAAGCCAGAGGCGACGGCGGCGGGCCAAAGGAGGGAGACGAGAAGGGGGGGGACAAACGAGATTCTCCCTTTCTTTTGCCTCTTGAGTCCCTGAGGGGGAGGGGAGGGGGCCGGGGGAGGAGGGGGGGAACAGAGGATCGGGGAGGGGCCTGCAAAACCCACGGGGAGCCTCCGGGCCCCTAGGGCCCCACACAGGCTACGGGCCTGCCTTGAAGTGAATCCAGTATGATTTTGGCAGCCAGTGCAGTGCCTTCAGCACAGACTGGATATGCTCCTGTACAGGGAAACCCGTCAGCAGCCTGGTGGCCACATTTTCCACCAGCTGCAGCTTCTGGATTTGTGAAAAGGGCAGCCCCATGTAGAGAGCATTACAGTAATCAAATTTTGAGGTGACCATTGCGTGGATCACTGTTGCCAGATCATTGCATTCGAGGATGGGAACCAACTGCTTGATCAGCCGAAGATGGTAAAAGGCTGCCTTGGCAGTGGCTGCTACCTGGGCCTCCATCATTAAGGAGGCATCCAGGAGCACTCCCAAGCCCCTGACCTTTGGCGCTGGCACCAACGGCACCCCATTGAAGGCTGGTAGAGGGATCCCTATCCCCAAACCATTCTGACTCAGGCACAGGACCTCTGTCTTTGCTGGGTTTAGCTTCAACCGGCTCAGCCTGAGGAACGCCCGGTTGAGATCTTCCAGGGAAGAATTGTACTGACTGCCCAACAGCAGATATAGCTGGGTGTCATCTGCATATTGATTACACCCTAGCCTGTGCCTCTGGACAATCTGGGCAAGAGGGCACATATAGATGTTGAATAACATCAGGGAGAGCACCGCCCCTTGGGGCACTCTGCAGATCAGCGGGTGCCTTCGGGACAGCTGATCCCTGAGAGCCACCCTTTGTCCCTGACCTTGGAAAAAGGAGATGAGCCATTGCAAGGCAAGCCCCTGAATCCCAGTGTCGGCATGGTAGTGGGTAAGTAGCTGATGGTTGACCGTGTTGAACACCTCTGACATGTCCAACATCAACAGCACTGCTGTCCCACCCTGCTCCAGATGCCTCCGGAGGTCATCTGTGAGTGCGACCAGTGCCTTCTCCATCCCATGGCCTGGGTGAAAGCTGGACTGGAAGGGGTCTAACATGGAAGTATCATCCATAAAGCCCTGCAACTGTATCTCCACCACCCTCTCAATTAATTTGACCAAATAGGGCAAGTTGGAAACTGGCCAATAGTTTGCCAGTTTGGCCGGATCCAATTTTTTTTTTAAAAGAGAGGGCGGACCATCACTTCCTTGAGTGCCCCTGGGAACAGTCCATCTGAGAGAGACTTGTAATAATATCCCTAAGGGCACCTTGGAACCCCTCATGACCAGCTTTAATTAGCCATGAAGGGCACGGATCAAGGCCACATATGGTTGGGTGTAGCGTTGAGAGCAATCTGTCGACTTCCTCTAGACTGAGTGGACTGAAATAATCCAAAATTGGACTGCCATAGAGTCCCCCCATCAAAGCAAAAGTGGCCAAAGAACCTACCGTGACTGTTAGTGCCTCATTTAAGAAATGCAAAGGGGTAGGAAGAAAAGATACGCAAAAAATAAAAAAAGGGGAAACCATTGCCTAATCATTCTTGGTAAGGAAAAAGAGAAGCTTGAAGACGGAAGTCTGGGTTATATGTTATTCTGCTCTGTTTATTCTGTTCTTTATTCTATGGTTTGAAAAAGTTGGTGGTGAGTGACTCAATATTTATTCAGAAGTTTGGCATTATGGAATGGGGGAGGGAGCGACCACATGATGCTTATAAAGAGAGTAACTTAATCAGTAACATGTATTCCTCACACTGCTGTCCTCTGGAGCAGAGATGGCCTCCATCATGGGGTTCCTCATGTATAGCTGGGTTCTTTTACCTTTGCTTACTGCAAATGAAGGTAGGAAATGTTCTCTGTGTTATTTCTGGTTTGTTTACCTTTTATTTCCATGGATCTCATAGAGCGGACTGTAATTGGTGTGGACTTTTATTTATGATTCTTTTGAAATCATAAATGGATGTTTTTTAGAGGATATGACAGAGACATGTTCAATCAATAGTGTGATGATACCATACAGAGAACATTGCTTAGACCCTCTCAGATATCTAAGATTTGGTGGAGCTAGTTTTATAAGTAAAGAAGCAAGCTAGAGGAGAGTCTTCCAGAAAATATTTATTATTTATACCTTTAGTATGTTTTTTAAAAAATCCTGCCCTTTCCCCAAGGAGCTTAGAGCAGCAATAGTCTCCCGTCTTCTGTGTTAACCTCAGAACAACCCTGTGAGGTACGTGAGGCTGACAGTATGTGACTGGCCCAAGACCACCCAGCAGGCATCCATGACAGAGTGCGGTTTTCAACATAGCTCTCCCATGTCCTAGTCCAACACTCTAACCACACTCATTCATACCTGGTTTACAATTTTAGGTCTCACAAGAACTCATACAGAGCTGCAATCCACCAGTCAAGAGTCACTGAATGAAACCATACGTATGACCTTTTATAATGGCATAGTTTAATGCAGACACATAAAAACATAAAGGATTGGGGTTTCTGGCCTCCAGGTGGAATCCAACCTATCTATCTGGATTATCTATCTATCATCTATCTATCTATCTATCTATCTATCTATCTATCTATCTATCTATCTATCTATCTATCTATCTATCTATCTATCATCTATCTATCATCTATCTATCATCTATCTACCTATCTACCTATCTACCTATCTACCTATCTACCTATCTACCTATCTACCTATCTACCTATCTATCTATCATCTATCTATCA